CACGGCGCGCAGACCAGCCGTCCCGCCCTCACCCAGGCATAAGGGGCCTCCCAAGGACCTGGACTCAGCGTCGGACGAGGAGAACGAGGACGGGGACTTCACGGTGTACGAGTGTCCAGGCCTGGCCCCGGTAAGTGCCGGGAGGTCCCCCAGCCGGGGCTCGCGCAGCCCCGCGCGTGCGCCCTGACTCAGCGCCTTCACAGACCGGGGAGATGGAGGTCCGCAACCCGCTCTTCGACCACGCCTCGCTGTCCGCGCCCCTCCCGGGCGGGCACTCGCCGTCCCCGCTGCAGTGACCCCGGCCCCAGCCGCCTGCGCGCCCGCGCCTGCGCCCGCGGCGGGAGAGAGGCCGGGCCTCCGCCTGGATGGGGCTGTGGGAGGCCCGAGGAGATCCCCGCTTGTGCTAGGAGACCCGTGCGGCCTTGTACCCCCCGGCCCGGGGAGGTGGCTAGGCAGGATGGGAAGTTCTGGAGACAGAAGCCAATTAAAGCCCATCTCAAACCTGTGCTTGTAGATGCTGTTCATCCCTAGCCGCTCACCTCCACTGGAGGACGATGGCCTTGGAGTGGGGGACCCCAGCTCTCTTGGGAAGACCTTGTTAAGGAGACTGGAGAGTGGGCAGGCCACTTTTTTTTTGCCATGGAGCTTGAACTCCAGGCCTGGGCGCTGTTCCTCAGCTCCTCAGCTCAAGGCCAGCACTCTACCACCTGAGCCACAGTGCCACTTCCAGTTGTCTGGAAGTTAATTGGAGATAAGTGTCTCATGGATTTTGCTGCCCGGGCTGGCTCTGAACCGCAGTCTTCAGATCTCAGCCTCCTGCATAGCTAGGATTACAGGCGTGAGCCACTGGCGCCCGGCCAGCCCACCTTTTTAGTGGCCCTCACCCCTTCCCCATATTTCTGTCCCCGAATAGGGAAGGTAAGGATGAACTACAAGGCTGGTTCAGCCCACAGCTGCCTCTTACTCCCTGGAAGGTTCCAATTCATTGTGATAGAAAGGGCTAGAGCCTAGTGCCATCTCCCACATTTATTATCCTAGCTACACAAGATGCTGAGATCTGAGGATCATGATTGGAAGCCAGTTCAGGCAGGAAAGTTTGTGAGACTCTGTTAATTAACTACCAAAAAAACCAGAAGTGGGGCTGTGGCTCAAGTGGTAGAACATTAGCCTTGAGCAAAAAACAAACCTCAGAGACAGCACCCCAGACCCTGAGTTCAAGCCCAAGGACTGGCCCAGAAAGCAGGGGTCTGGGAAACGGGGCAGTCTGCTTACACTGGATGTGGGCACCCAACATTTCTGTCCTTGGGGCAGATGGCAGGAAAAGTACCTGACAGACATTGTGAGTTTCACAGACCACAAGGAGATCTGGGTCCTGCAGTGTCTATTGGGGACATACCAGGTAAAGAGTCCTGAGTGGCGAGTGCACACGCCCCGCTAGACCAGGAGGCCTGGTGAGGAGGTTAGGTGGTAGAGCCCGTCAGTGCCTACAGCTGGGGTCTGGTCTGCCAATCCCATGTGAGGATGGGGGGGGGGATGAACTGGAGAACAACACCATGTCATCACAAGTGCACAGATTGGGCCAGCTCCAGCCAGGATGCAGAACCAAGCCCAGTCTGACCCCGGGAGGGGGAATAGTCATGGCAAAGCAGTTTAGCAGGCTGGTTGCTGGTATGCAGATCTCAGGATTAGGGTTGGAAGTCAACCCAGGCAGGAAAGTTGGTGAGACTTTTTTTTTTCTTTTTTTCTTTTTGTCAGTCATTGGGCTTGAACTCTGGGCTTGGGCGCTGTCCCTGCGCTCTTCAGCCCAAGGTGAGCGCTCTACTGCTTGAGCCACAGTGCCACTTCCAGTTTTCTAGTGGTTTATTGGAGATAAGAGTTTCACGGACTTTCTTGCCTGGGCTGGCTTTGAACCGAGATCTCAGATCTCAGCCTCCTGAGTAGCTAGGATTACAGGCGTGAGCCACCGACGCCCAGCAAGACTCTTATCTCAAAATGGAGCTGTGGCTCAAAGTAAATGGTAGAGTGCTAGCTTGAGCAAAAGAGCTCAGGGACAGGGACAGTGCTCAGGCCATGAGTTCAAGCTCCATCACACACACACACACACACACACACAGGATCCAGGCTCAGACAGGCCCGCAGTGGGGCAGTGGCAGCTGGTTTGGGAGCAGTGCCCTGCAGAACCAGTAGGAAAAACATGGAAATAAGGTGAACCGTACACAGAGATGCCGGATTGTTCCAAGCAATATGTTTTGGGAACCAGAGCTCCCCAGACCAGGAACTCTGCTTTATCCTCACCCCTCAACTGCGACCTTTGGCCCTTAGTATGAGCCTGGTTCCCTCTGGGGACCAGGGGTGGGGAAGGAGGGGGCTGAGCAGCGCCCCTGCAGCCGCAGAGGGAGGAGGCCTCTCCAGTGCACAGAGGGCCTGGCGCTCAGTCCATATCTTGCTAGTGGGGTTGCAGCCAGAGCTGGGGTCCCCTGAACGCTAGGACCTGTACTGGGGTCACCACGGTCACCCCTGCTGGCCAGACCTGGGGTCCAAGAGCAGCCTCCTGCTAGTCCCGTCTTCTCAGCCTTTGGTATTCCCCAGCCTGTTCTTGGGGCCCCTGCCCACAGTCTTTGACCCGGCAAGTGTGGCAGGGTCTCCTCTGCCACTTACCCCTGGCCAGCCCAGCACTGCACCCCACCTGTCTGTTGGCTCCCATCTGCCCCAGGCCAATTCAGAGAGTCATTTAATTCTGCCCAAACTACCTCAGAGCTGCCCCCCTTCCAAGTCCTGGGATCCTCAGGGGGTCTGGATCCCCCAGTCTGGAGTGAGGAGTCTGGGCTGGCCTTGCCAGGACCATTTGCCCCTGCCCTTCACCGAGCCCCTGCGGAGAGGCACCTTAACACCAGTAAGAGGTTGGTCTCACCTCAGCCCTTAGCCTACCTGAGCCTTCTACAGGCCTGCCCCCCACCTGAGCCTTCTACAGGCCTGCCCCTCACCCCACACCTGAGCCTTCTTTTTTTGGGGGGGGGTCATGGGGCTTGAACTCTGGGCCTGGGCGCTGTCCCTGAGCTCTTCAGCTCAAGGCAAGTGCTGTACCACTTGAGCCACAGCGCCACTTTTGGTTTTCTGGTGGCTTATTGGAGATAAGAGTCTCACAGATGTTCTTGCCCGGGCTGGCTTTGAACCGCGATCCTCAGATCTCAGCCCCCTGAGTAGCTGGGGTGACAGGCCTGAGCCACCGGCACCCGGCTCCACCTGCGCCTTCTTGCCCGGCCCCCTCTTCCTCCACCTGCTGCTTCTCATTAGAGGAAGCTCAGCAGGATGTGTCTGCCTCAGCCTAGTGGGACTGCCTGGCGCCTCCCTGAGCACAGATGCCAGCACCGGCCTGGAGAGCCCCCATCTGGAGAGGCTCCAGCCCCGCTTGACCCTGGGGCAAGACCCTGGTAAGCAGAAACCCCAGATTCGGCCCTGGGAGGTGGCATCCTTCTCCTTGCCGTCTCTGCCGCCCTGCGTGGGCCTCGGGCTGGCCCAGCCTCCCACCGGCGACAGGGCACGAAGGGATGTGTCGGTGTGGAGTGGAGAAGGACGCGCAGAGCGTGGGGTATGGCAGGGGGCCTGGACAGTACGCCTGCCCCTCCCGGGGCTGGCCGGAGCCGCACGGGGCCAAGCACACCATGCCTCCCCGCTCTCTGCAGGTTTGGTAGGAAAGGATGGCAGAGAGGGCTGGGCCCGCAAAGCACCCCAGCTCTTCCGGGCCCTGCCCTCCACTCCCCACGCCAGCTGGCTCCCTGCCCTGCCCGGGATGCCCCTTGGCTTTCTGCCGAGGCCCCCAAGGGCCCATTCCTCACTGCACCTACTTTCCACAAAGGTGAGCCCAGAGAGGTGTGAGGACCTCGGCCCCAAACCCTCACCCAGGTGAGCCCCAGTCCTAACCCTAATTACGCCCAGGCTCCCTTCTTGGCTGGAGCAAGTGGCGCCGGACCACAGCCACCAGGGGGCGCCCTGGCACTCATCTGCACTAGGCCCGCTGAGGTCAGTGTTGGGGGAGCAGGTCAGGCAGGCCGCTGGGTGTAGCTGGTTCCTCAAGATGCCCTCAGGCTGGGCATGTCCCTCACCCCACTGCCACCCAGGTGCTGTGAGCGCAGGGAGCAGTCAGCAGGCCGGTGACCTGCCTTCCTTCTAGAATGGGGTCCCTGGGTTGGTGGCGTCTCCAGCTGGCCCTGGCCGGTGCCTCTGCAGCCTCTGGGGTAGACCTGGGGTTTCTGACCCTGCTGCTGCGGGCTGCAGGGCCCGGGCTTGGCGCCCACCTTCGTCCCAAGGGCCCTCTGAGTTGGGAGGCCCGGCTGGGGCAGGCAGTGGTGGAGGTGCCCCGCTTCCCCTTTGACTCATACCCTCTCACCCCTTTGCCTCTTTCGTTCTGACCCATTTCCCAGCTGGCAGCTTCTCACAGTCAGGGGCCCCTGTTGCCAACCTCAGCTGCCATGGCGGGGCGGGGAGCAGCCTGATTGGGGGGGCTTTTCCAAGGCCACCCAGGAAGGGGGCCGGCTGTGGGTGGGGAAGGGTGGCATGGGCCCCAGGCAGCCCGGCAAGCTGCACAAACAGGAAGGACAGCAGGCTCTGACAGCCAGAAGCTGGTGGCCCCAGGTTGGCAGCACGGCCTCCTTCCTGCAGTCCCCCGGCCGCTTAGGAGAGGTGGGGTGGGGTGGAACGAGGCTTGAGGTTAGGGTGTGTCTCCCCTGTGGCTGCCCGTGGTGGTTGGGGGGGATGCCTGGGGTATAGATGTCACTGTGGTCATCTCCCGAAATGTCGGGTGGGCTGGCCCCCAGGAGGGCATCCCGGCTGGCGCAGTTACCGCCTCCGGGGTCAGTGCCCCAGGCCGGCTGGAGCACCTGACAGTTCCCACGCCCCACCCCCCGCCCGGGTTAGCATTGCACAAGCTCTCCACCGCAGCCCGAGGACATGCTGGGCCACAGCGGGCAGGGCGCCCCCGGGGGCGCGAACGGACACGCTCTCGCTGTGGTGTGCTATCGGCCGTCTGCTTCCTGTACCAACGGCAGCCTTGTCCTGGGGCAAGGCCGTGGCTGGGGGCCCGGGAGCCAGGCAGCCTGAGAGACGGTGCCGGGCAGCAGGTCTCACGGCAGCTCCTCTCCGAGCCCGGGCTCTGCCCTGGGTGCCCACGCAGGGCGCTGGGCAGCAGTGTGGGTGGGCTCGTGGCCAGCGTGGTGGGCCGATGCTGGGCGACTGAGAAACCAGCCAGCCTGCGCGTTCCTGCGTGCCACGGCTCCAGGTCAAGGCGGTCCAAGGGAAGACCCTGACCCTGCGGCGACCCCAGGCTGGACCTGCAGGAGGGGGAGGGGAGGTGCTTCACCTCGGGCAGGGCCGGCCTTCCTGTTCCTGGAGCCAGAGTCAGCTCCCTGTCCCCCGCCGCCGCCAGGCAGTCGGGGCCACCAGACTCCTTCCCCTTCCAGCCTGGAAAGCCCCCTCGGGGGCAGCAGGGGG